AGCCGCGAGCAAGGATCTAACGCTGCCCTGAGCACCTTCTCCCTTCACTTAACATTCCTGAACCTCATTTTATCATCCACCTTTTAGTTGAATAAATATTTGTTAGGCGCCTACGATGCTTTGGAACCTGCAAAAAGCCATCCGGGGAGGGGGGAGGGGCAGGGACAAGTGACTGTGAGCACCGTGGGGGCGTGAGCACCTCCTGGGGACCCACAGGGGTCACCAAGGCTTCGAAGGAAAGGATCAATGAGCCAGGTCAGGAAGGCCACACCCGTCAGGGACGGGGGAGGCTGGGGCGAGGGCTGGGCGCGGGCAGGGTGTCGGGCAGAGCACAGCGCGGGGTGCGTGGGGTCGGGCGGGGGAGGCCCCAACTAGACGCTGCAGGCCAAGGGGATGCGCTGAACGATTCGGAGCCGCGAATGACGTCGTCATGGTGCCTGAGATGCGTGGCAGGGGCAGCGGGAGAGGCTCGAGGACGGAGGGAGAAGGTGCGGGGCAATTCCCGCAGCCCGAGGAGACCTCCCTGGGGACGTCGGCAGTGAGAACGGGGGACCGGCGTGGACAGCTCGGCGAGGGACAGACAGCGCGTGGGGGCTGGATGTGGCAAGAAGGCAGGCGCCGTTTGGGAGATGCTCCCAGCCTCGGGGGAGATGGGGAGGGGGCGCGGCAGGAGCCCCAACAGGGCCCGATTTAAGGAGGGGAAAGAAAAAAATGGGCAAATAACATTCCAAAAGTCGATGGGGACAAAAGTAACAGGAAAGAGGGGCATTGTCAAATGTTGTCACAACATTGTCAAATGTGGTCAAATGCCGCGGAAAAATTGAGAAGAATGAGGCCTAAGGAGAAGCCACCCGATCTGGCCTTAAAGCAGTCAGGGGCCGGCGGGGGGAGGCTTAGGGACTTTCACCAGAATGGGGGGGAGGGGGTGGGGCACGTCTCTTGCTCCAAGTTTGCGTCGCTAACTTTTCATTTACAAAAATAAATGCATCACTTAAAATTTCATCATAAAAATATGGCAGCGCTACTGGTCCTATATGATTATTTAACAGCGCCAATGCTACGACATGCATTCATGCAGAGTACCTGCTCAAAGCGCGTCCCCAAGGCTGCCTGCGGAGAAGGGACTGGGGACAGCGGGTCGGGCTGACGCCAGTCCCCGCACCTTCAAACTTTCCACCGGGGGCTGGTGTCCCCACGACCTCCAGAGCCACCCTCATCAGCCAGGTCTCATCGAGCCTCCCATGGAGCCTCTCCTGCCTACACGGCGCGGCCCGCAGCTCACGCCGCACCGCCCAGGATCCTCAGCGTAACCTTCCAGCTGTGTCTTAGCGACCCCTCCCCCGGTTCCCGCGACACTGGAGTACTCGCTGCTGTCACAAGAGTAGCGATCAGTGTGGGCACTGTCCAAAAGCACCGGGCAACCTACTGATGACTTCTCTCCATCACCACCACCACCCTGTCACCAAGGGTTCCTACCACGGTCACCCCAGCCCCCTTCAAAGCACGCCGCCAGGTGCACGCGCAGCACTCGCACAATAAGCACGCGGTGCTCTTTACCCTAAGCGGGCCCGCCACACCGCAGGAGCCTCGGGGTGCGCCAGAGCCAGAACCGCCCCCGCTGTTACTGTCCCTCTCATCGCTATTCCCGTGCAGGGGGTGGAATGTCCTGCCAAAGGACTCGCCACAGGAGGAGGCGGAGGCAGGATTCGAACCGAGGTCTCCCTGTCCCCAGGACCTAAGCCCTTCCCTGCCACACTGCGGCGGCATGGGCTCCTGCAACAGCCTCTCCTCCTCTTCCTCTTCTGGTCGCTGGATTCCTAGCAGGCTCCTGTGTGTCCTCCAAAGCCCATCTAAACCATGCCCCCGCCCTCAGGGCTGTCCCTGACCCTTCTGGGCAGAAGAAGCCATCCTCTAGGTCTCCCTCCTTTTTAAACTCCTGACACAGCATAGACGTGACAACATAATCAACAACGCGTGCTTTTTGGAGTCAAACGGAGCCAGGTTCAAATTACGGCTCCGTTACATATTTGTGGCGCAGTCTGAGGCCCAACATGTCAAACCTCAACGCTCAAGTGACTAATCGTTAGAACAGGGGCACAGTTCTTACCGCATTCACTCCCGTAAATGTCCCATGGTCCATGCGGGCACTCAGGAAATACGTGATGAGCGCCTACTATGTGCAAGGCGCGGGGCACACACTGTACAAACTAGAGACACCGGCCCTGCCCTCCCGCAGCTGATGGTCTGGCGGAGGCTGCAGACAAGCGAACAGATGATTCAAGTGCCAAGTGAGGAGAAGGGGCTATTAAGACCAAGAGCCCCAGCCAGGGAAGCACCACGACCCGACGTAGGCTCACGGGGTCAGGGAAGGACAGTGCCGGTGAGCACCCAACTCGGGGGGAAGTCTCTTCAAAATAAAACAGATCCAACACTCAAGACAGATACCTCAAGTGATCTCAACTTAATAAGATGCTTCCCCCGCCCACTCCATCGTCACACGGCCCTCGTTTCTAAGCGGTGACAAACTCCCCCGAACGTCACCGAGGGGAACACTGGTTTCTCACGGCGGGGCGCGGGGGCGGGTCACTGCATTAAGATGAAGCCTTGTGCCTTGCTCTGGGCAGTAGCAACCTCAAGGCCGGCAGAAGGGGCCAAAGAAATAAAAATAGGGTCTGACCGTGTCTCCGTGTCCCACCGCAGCCAGGAGGACTGCTTAACATTTGCTCCTGTGTTCTGCGTTAAAGCAGTTAGTGACAGAACAAGGAAGTCATTTTCACATGTTTCTGGGGGCTGAGCCGCTGCAAAGAACGAGAGAGAAAATGTGGCTTTCAAAAGAGAGGCTAATTACAGCTTTTAAAATATTAGACTCCCTCAGAATACCTGTCACCCCCACCCCTAGGAGTTTCTGGGTCTTTCTTAAAGGTGCTGGGAAGGTATTGCCATACAGACTCCCTGTCCTGCCTGAGGATTTTAAAACGCTGCTGAGTGATTTATTCCTAGTTAGTTCTTCAAGGGCTGTGTGTCTCACATCTTCAGAAGCATTAGAAAGAAGGTCAGTGTTATTTAGACAAGAAACCCACAGCAGTTAGAGACGCTGCACCAACAGGGGGGAAAAAAAAAACGCACAGCCTCCTACTTTGTGCCCCATCAAACGGGGATTTCCACTTTAACTTGGACTTTCTGCCAGCAAGCCAGCGGGGATAGGACTTGGAGGCTTCCCTCTCCAAAAAGACAGAGGGCTGTTTTTGTTTGGGGAGGGGTTTTTTTTAGGCCAAGATAAAGGGGGGAGAGTCAGCTCTATGCTTCCTGGAAGGGTCGGAGAAAGCAAAATGCCACCATGCTGGCCACCCTACTTAGAAACGCTCTTTCTTTACAATCAAGTGACCAATTCAAGAGGGAGAAGACAGAACTAGCAGCAGTCACCCACACGGATGACCAATTTAAATTTAATTAGCGGAAAATTATTCAGGCCAGAAAGGGAGAGGAGGAGTAGGAAAATAAGAAAATATGGACTGAAACCAAAATTAAGTAAACGGGGAGGGGCGAGGGAATCGACAATCATCCAAAGAATGCCACCCACAAAGAGGAAAACAGAGGCCCAGAAAACGCGGACTGTTGTTCCTTTCGTGTCCCCATGGCCTCTGGCATTCAGCTGTGAGTGCAGAGGACCCAAAACCTCCCACCGTGCGATCTGCAAGTATTTATACAGCTCTGTCTCTCTACGTCTAACGCTTTCTCTGAGAGGGGAAAGATCTAGGCTCAGGTCTCTTTAAAAAGAGAGTGGCCTTCGCTCAGTATTTGAAAATATCAATGGAATTCCATTTCTGCTGACAGGATAGGACCTCCAAACCTAGTTATGAAAACATAAATACAGCTCCATTTCCCACCTAACCCATGGTTACAAGGATTTAAGTTTTACCAACGCACACACGCCCGGACCATCGAGGGACCGGAGCCAAACGGAGGGGCGGGGGGAGCTGGCAGCTGCCTGCGTCCCAAATCCATGCAGGAATCTAGAGTGATGTTTAGAAACACCCTTAGGAATAAAGTCAGGCGGGGAAACTACACGAGCCAGGAAAGGACTCTGTGTACAGGAGGAGAAAAAACTCTGAAAGAGGCCCGAGCCAGGGGTGAGCGTGGCCACGAGTCCTACCAACGAGCACGTGTGCGCGCGCGCTCACACAGACTCACATATGCACGTTCGCGCACGTATATAGGCAGGCTCATGTTAGAAAAGCGGCTTCTACTCGGCCATCGAAGGAGAGTGGGCCACCAGCGCGTCCCCAGCCTCTCCCTGGATAATGCGGAGGAGACGTGTGGCCAGCGGTGGGCACGGGGCGGGGGGGACCCTCCCTCCCACAGGGCCACAGCGCCACCCCGGATCCGTGAGAGCGCTCTCCCTTCCCTGCCTGTCCTTGTCCTCGCAAATCGGAACTCACGTCCTCGGAGACCTCAGCTCCCTTGGAGGGTGCCTGGCAGCAGGGTGAACCGACAGGCTTTGCCCTGACGGGGCCCTGCAGCGGGGGCTGGCGGCGGAATGAGGGCTCGCGGGCCAGGTGTGTGGGAGGGCCTGCAGCCTGTCTCTTGCGGGAGGAGCTCACTTGAACCATCTTCCTGACACCGCGCCTTCCCTCCCGTTCACCCCAGGTGACCGCCCCCCACGAGCCTTCCTGGCCCCCGAAGTACTTCTGGGTCAGCGCCCCGAGGCGGCGGCACATTGCGGGGCCTACCGGCTGGCCCTGAGAACCCCTTGCTGGACACCCACACCACCACTGCCACAGCGGGTGCGCGGAGAGGTGGGAAAGCCCAGCGAGACTCGCGTAGGTCCAGGGTCGGGGACCAAGGGAACGGAAGCCGTTCCCTTCTCAGAGAAGCCACTTGACAAGCAGCGGGGGGAGGAGAAGAGACAGGAGGAAGAGCCCCGGTGGAAACTGGGCGTTTACTTGGAGAGGAGCCGCGGAAGGGACGTGCCTAGACAGTGTCCCGGCGCGAAGGCCGGGTCAGAAGGCCTCCTTGGTGCTGTTGAATTTCTTGGGCGGCAGCCGGGGTGAGGACCGCGAGGTGCAGGAGCTGCGGTCGGGGTTCTGAGGGCCCAGAGGCGGTGCCTGCAAACTTACGGGAATGGAGCGGCTCAGGAACCGGGCTGAGGATGAGGACAGGCCGGGGTAGGGTGGCCGGAGGACGGCGGCGGCAACGCTGACCGCGCCCGGCTCCTCCGTCTTGGCGCCCTGGGGGCCCAGCGGGCCGCTCGGGGCGCTCCGGCTGTGCTGGTTGTTGTTGAGCTCGGGGTGATTCCGGGCGGGCGCCTGGGAGCTGCCATTGAGGAGGTTGGTGAAGGGGGTGGCCACGAAGGCCATCTTGGAGGGCAGGATCTTTCTGTTGTCCGGGTCGTCTGCGGCAGCGTTCAAGTTCCCGAGAGAGCTGGCCAGGCGGGAGTTTATGGAGAAGCTGGATGGGAAACACACGGGGAAGGGGACACGGACAGCGATGGACATCAGCGCTCGTGCCCGGCACGCACGCGACCACGCGGGCGGGGGCGGAGGTGACGAGGACGGGTCTGACCGGCACCAGTGGGGACGGAGGGCCTCCACCATCGCTCTGGGCGACGTAATAATACGTGGTCCTGAGTCAGACACGTTACTTTCCTCTGCCCAGAGCAGTTCATTGGGACCCAAGAGGCTGCCTGAAACCACGGGACCGGAGATCTAGAACTAGACTATGGAGGTGCCCTTGGCCCCGGGGCAGGAAGTAAGGCAACGGGCGAGCAGAGAGCAAAAAGCATGAGATTTAGCCCATATGTATGTCATCACATTACACGAAACGTCCTTACCCACCGTGGCTCTGCCCGGCACCCAGGACAGAAATGACAATCAGAAGTGTCCCTACTACATGCAACTCAACTCCATTTTCGAGTTAGGCAGCCTATAGCGGGGGTGCTGTGGGGGGTCCCGCCTTCGGGCGTCGCTGGGCCCCACTGGAAGAAGAGTTGCCTTGGGCCACGCATTAAATACACAGACACTAATGAAAACCGATAAGCCAAAAAAGGTTTTAAGTAAATTTATGATTTTGTGTTGGGCTGCATTCATAGGCATCCTGGGCCACAGGCAGGCCACGGGTTGGACACCCCTGCCGGAAGCCATCCATGGCCTTGTCCCTGAAATTCAGGACAGGGACAGATGCTCGGAGGTCACAGAGCCTTCTGTGGTCCCCCCTTCCCCCCGGTCCCTCCTCCGACCGTCTCCCAACTCTTTGCGGCTGGCTTCTTCCACATCCCCTGGGGATCTCAAAGATGGGAGAATTACCTTCTTATACTGGCGCCCGAGGACAGGGAGCCTCTGTTTATCCTCTTGGCCGTCGCTGAAGGAGACGAAGCCACTTTTGAGGGCTTCGGAGCCGATGAAGACCCTTGCAGGGAAGAAGGCAACCTTTGGGGAGAAAAAAGGGCAACGCGTCATGTGCGCGCCATGTCCTCTCGATGGTCAGCAAGCGCCCAGGCGAGAGACACTGGCGCACATCCAAGAGGTCCCAGCAGAGCCCAGGCCCGGGGGCCGCACTGAGACAGCGCCTCTGTGCCACGCAGGCCTCTCACAGCCTTGCAGGCGCTCCCTGGGCTCAGCCGCGAGCTGCGAAGCCCTCAGACCCGCTGTGTGCGCGAGGACGTGCAGGCACAGTGGGAAAGCTCCTCGTTCAAAGTCACGTGGAGCAGGTGCCAGAGCTGGGACGGGCCCGGGCCCCCCCAGCCCTGCCCTTCACAGCCACCCCGCCATCCTTGGCCACTCCCCTTCTTTGCCGCTGGCGTTCCTGCCTCCCGTGTCTTTGTATTCTTCATCTGCCCTCTCCTTTCCACCCGGCAACTGCCCTAGCTGAGGCCATTGCTGTACCTTATCCTCAACGGCTGAGAGCATCTTTTCCTCTTATTCCCTAAAGTTCCTATTCTGAATAGCCTCCAGCACAATCTAAAACATCTAACGATGTCGCTTGGCTGTTTACACTAATTCATCTTCCCTCGGGGCCCAGAAAGCCTAACACCCTTGACTTGGCTTACGACGCCCTCCAACATCTGGCATCACCTCGCTGAGCAGGTCCACGTACCCACACGTCCCCTCTGCACAAAACGCCTGAGCGCCCTGCCCGCCTGCACTCACACCTTCGTCCAGTTTGTCCTGCCAGGCGTCCCCGCTCCACCTCTGTCTCTTCCCTTCCTCCTCCGCCTGACTCACTCCTCCGCTTCTCCATTTACGGGTCCAGCCCGCTGCTGCCTCTTACGGCAAAAGGCTTCACTGAACTCCCGCGGGGGTGCATCCTGTCTCACCCTCTCTTTCCGCAGTAAATCATAGCTTCTATGTCTTATATCACTGCCTGCTATTTGTCCATTTCCCTCGACATAAGGCTCATTGGGAGCAATGAACTATCTCTCATTTCAATCCCCAGGAGCCAGGCTCAGGTCAGGTGTTCGGTACACGCTTGCCAAGGGAACACGAAGGGGGAAACTGGCTCACATCTGGCAGCCCGGGCCCAGGCGTGGCTTTACTACCAGCTCTGTTTCATCCTGGACTGATCCTTCGGGGTTTTCCTATCTGCTGTAGAAAAGCTTATTTTCCTGTAGACTCTCCTTCACCATCGAAACAGCAGCTTCGACCTGGCCGGCCTCTGAGACTAGGACTCAGGGAATGTTGTGCAAAGAGGTAGCTCCAGCTTCTGCAGAAGTCGGGGCCCTCCCTGACTCCCCCTAAACACCCCTAAACGCAGGGCTCAGGGCAAGGCGACACGTGAATCAGCCTTCTCTCCCTCTTTTGTCTACAGTTTTGGTCACATGCCCCCCACCACCCCACCCTCACTGAGCCCTCCACCGGACCCTGTACCCCTGGTGGCCTCATATGACCAGGTAGTGTTCAGGGGACATTTGCCAGAGAAAAACACTAACATCTCCTCTCCAAATAGAGGGTAGAGAATAAAAAAAAACAAAAACTAGAAAATAAAGGAGGGCAGCAAGCACATGCAAAAACAGGGAGGAGGAAAGAGAAGAGTTATCAAATCAAGGCAAACGCTACCACGAGACCGGAAGGCAGTGCCAGCCACTGTCACGCATCAGGGGCCCTGCACGTGTGGGAGCGGAGTCACTGTCACAGCCACAAAGCCCTGCGCACAGCTTGGGAGAGCCAACTCCGCGTCCTGGGGGCACTGAGAACAACGCCCACCGGACGGAAGGGGAGGCAAGTGAGAAAGGGAAACGCTGTGCGCGGTTTATCTTCGCTGGTTTGAGGGCTGGGGGCAGGCACCTAAAGGATGGTGATATTTACAAGGAACTAGAAATGCAGCCTCCTCGGTGACAGTACCTGAATGGCTGGGACATGGCCCTCGGGTGCCCTTTAACGTCGTCCAACCTACAAAAGTCAAAGACACGTGTTCAGGCAGCAGCAGGCTCACCCAGCCCGGCCCAGACCCAAAGGCACACTGGGCGGAGTCAGAGCAGTAAGAACATGAACTTGGCCGAGGGCAGGACCGGGCACCTGGATATTAGTCTTCCTGCACTTCTGTAAAAATCCTAGAACCAGCAGGAAATCTACCTTAGTCATTTACTTTCCTCTTGATTTCCATTTGTAGCAAATTGCTTTTTAATCAGAAGGGGGACTTGCATCCGCTCAGGGTAAAATTGTTTGATGATGGTACCATGATGTCATTTAAAAAAAAAAAAAAACTAAATTCCAAAAATACTAGAAAATTCCTCGGAGTAAAAAGGAAAAATAGAAAAACCCTATTGGAGCGAGCCTTCTACAACCTGCACTGTAGAAACTCTTGTTTTCCTTATTCATTTGCCAAATTACATTCCAACTTACCCCTTCCTTGTCCTTGCAATTTCTTAAGAATCAAATATAGATGCCTGAACGGCATTTTAATCAATAGGAAGCCATTTCTTAGAGTTTAAAGGGGAAAAACTGGTGAAGGGAAGAGATTAGTAATCTCAAGAACCCTCCGCTGACTTGGACAACGTACGTCACAGAGACAGCAGCGACTTGGAACAGCGGCGGGTGTGAACACCGGCTCTGTTCGAACTGCGGCCAGGCTGAGGACGACCTGACCCCCCACCCCGCCTCGGCACCCCAGCCAGGTGCGGGTGATGACGCACGCCTCTCAGGTTTGCTCGGGGAGGCCTCACGTACGAGCTGAGCGCCTGCCGCGGCTCCGGGCCCAGAGCGGCTGCCCCGTGAAGGGCGCACCTCCTCGGCTCTGCGGTGCTGGCCGCTGGTCAGGACTAAGCTCCCGGCTTGCTGAGACGGCATCTCACCTCACTGTAGAACACGGCCCCTCAGCCTTGAGCCGCATGAGCTTTTATGGCTCAGCTCAGGACACCAGCACTCAAAGCACAGGTAACGGTGTGATCGGACCCGATCCGGCTGGAGGGTGACAATCCTCCCCAGGGGACACACGAACACTAAGTTGCCTGGGAGTCTGCTGGACATTATCACGCTGGCAAAACATTCTACCTGCTACATGTGTCTCTCGCTTAAAAGTCAGAGAAAAGCAATCATTCCCCACCACACCCCTTTGTGAACTTACCCCCCATACATTCCCATCGAAAGTGTCGATGGCATTCAGATTTTTGCACCTACGGGGACCTGAAGCCTTTACTTGAATCTACTCTGAACTGTCAGCAGGTCTCAAATGTTAGAGTCAGAGGGCAAATTCCATCACTTGCTCCTGATGAGCCGTCTCGCCGACATCAAGATGGTCTATCGCTTTCCAGGCACAGGTAGGAATGGCACACTCACCTCTCAAAAAGAGAAGGGAGGCTAAGGAGTGAGGTCCACCCAAGCCTGGCACACAGCGCCTCTCTGCACGACCAAGAGTCCGACAAACGCCTGTGAAGATTTGCCACAGGAAACCCCGGTCGCAGGAGGGGGTGGAATTCCAAAAGGAGTTTGGAACGGAGTCCCACAGACAACGGACTGCTTAGCACTTTAAGGTGGCATTTTCAAGATGGACGTGCACAAGTTACCTTCTAGAAGCTTCTAAAATTGAGCTCCTCCCCACAGTGATAAAATAAGAAACACATAACACGAAAGAGTAATAAACCAAAACACGAGAGGTAAACCAGTGCTCGTGTAACGATATCCAAAACGGGGGATGAAGGGTTCTGTCCACAGGTGGCGCCGCAGCCTAAATTCACAGGCGAAACATGGACCTACCTGAACGCGCAGGACGGCAAGGAGCGGGGCTGCCTCTGGCTCTTTAAGGCACGCAGTTTGTCTCCTTGGGTGATGCTGTTCTTCATCTCCACGTCTTCATCGTCTTCCAAGTTATTCTGGGGAAAAAGTGCATGTTCCACAGAGCGGTCATTATGAATAACGTGATTTTATGTAGATTTCTTACTACATCATAGATTCCGTCTGTATATATTTTATATAAATTATCTTAAATCGCTCTAATGCTCTACAAAGTCCGCATCGTTCACGTATAGAGTAAAGAATGCTTGACTGAGAATCATGTAAGGGGCAGCATGGGGAAGGGAGTCCATGTAGAGCCAACAGCACCGTAGTAAGTATGCACGGTGTCAGGTGGGCGGTCGCTTTGTAAACTACGTAAGTGTCTCAGCACTATGTTGTATACCTGAAATTAATATAATATTGTCGTCAACTGTAGTTAAAAGTTTTTTGTTTTTTTTTTAAAAAGTAAGAACACTCAACTATTCACCAATGAGCTCTCCTGGTCATATTCCCAGTCAAGGAAGCGCGGGTACAGACGTAGTGGAGTTTACAACGAGCTATAGTTCCCATGGACTGCAACCAGAGAGACCCTCACGCAGACAAAACCACACTTTGGAACGTGGCTTAGACACAGGCTGGCTCAACAGGCACTGTACAAGGACATTTCTAGAAACTACCAGGAGTCATCTGAGCAAATTCCACAACTTGCTTGCAAAATCGAAAGCTACAACAATTTAGAATACTAAGCCCGTCAAAGCCCTCAAGAGCTTTCCGAAAGGAGTCCAAGCTTCCTGGAGGGGGGAAGCGTATTTCCTACTGAAAAATACAGAAGCACTGTGCCGGGTCTTTTCCGGCACCAGCTCACATTTAATCCGCACAACCCGGAGGGTGTGGGGGAGAACCATGACCCTTGATTTATGAGTGAAAAGGGGGAGGTGCTCCTGGAGCCCACACGCTTCGTGAGCGTCAGACTTCTGGTCCTCGGACGCCATGTCCCTTCTAAAAGACAGGCCACGACACGGCAGTCCTGTACCAGCCGTGACTGCGTGCTGCCCATTTCCTCACCTGCAAAACATCAAAAGCCCTGCATCTGCCAAGATCCCCTCCAGCCCTCACAGTCCCCGCTCTGTCTCTGTAGCTCAAACTCCTGTTTGACGAAGGACACGCAAAGGCAGACTTCCCTCAGCCCCCTGCTCGTCGTTTCTGATAGCCATTCCTGGGCCAACCTGCCCCTTCGCTCCCTGGCCCCCCGCCCCCCCGCCCCCCGCTGGGGTCCACGGGGAGGCCCGGGGCTCGGCAGGCACGCCCCTCTGACCACCGGCACCTTGAGGCGGGGGAGGACGAGCCAAGACCTAGGACACACGGGACAGGAGCAGGAATGACGGTGCGAGCGTCCTGGCCAAGGCGGTCCCTCCACGGGGTCAAGACGGAACCTGAGTAAAGCAGGCCAAGGCCAGAGCCAACGCCCCGCCGGCCACGGCCCCCAGCTCAGCGTCCCGGGGTCATGTGACTCACGGACAGACGACGGTCTTGTAAATAACAAGCGACCGCACAGGGTGTGCGCGTGCGTTCTATTCCCCCCATCGTTCTGTCTACACGCAGCCTGAAGACCAAAGGGTGAGCCCCTCGGCGGGGTCCAGAGGCTTCAGGCGGGCGAGGCAAGACCTGGCGAGCAGGTCACTACAGTGGAGAGTGGCTGCCGGCGGGGGAGGGGCTGAGCGCCGTGAAGACCAGGCCCGGCGGGGAAAGTGGAGCACAGCGGGCGATGAAGAGGGAAGAGCCATCGCAGGAGAGGGACGGCAAAGGGGAGTCTGAAATAGAAATGAGTAAAAATAGAAGTGAAAGGATTGGAAGACAAAGATGAAAATGGAATTTTTAGCAGGTTTAAATAAATGATTTGGCTCGGAAGGGTGGATGAATCATCTCTCAAGGTCTCTCCGGCTCCGGGATGTGGAGTCTATGAGGTGCAAACGTTGTGGGAAGGCAAAGGGGTCGTTTCCATAGTAAGTCGCTTCTGGGTGATAACAAGTCTGGGTTCAGCAGAGCCCCCAGGTCTGCCTTCTGTCCCTCCTCGCCGTCACCGTGCAGGCCTCTGTCCCCCGGCCCACTCCCGTCACCAGCTCCCCGGCCTGCCCCCGCCCTCGGCCGCACACGGACGCCTGCCCGCCACCGCCGGGGCGACCCCCCCACGGGTGCCTCTGCGCTCTGCCGCTCCCGGCCAACAGCCTCCGCCAGGTCCCAGCGTGGTCCTGCGAGCGGAAGGAAAGGGGCCGAAAAGCAGGGCCTTAGTGACCTCGTTCTGACCTCACAGTTCTCCTTCTCGGATGCACCCCGCTCATGAGCCTGTGACGCAGAGAACAAATTCAGCGGCGAGGATTTACAAGCCGCAGTGTCTCAGCGCTGGGCCCGCCATGCTACGCCCTTATTTGCCTGATGTGGGATTCCGGGCCTCCGCGACCACTGCAGCCCCTGGGCTGACCCCACATCGCTAAGGCAAGGGCGCCTACGGGCCGGCGGGCTGACAGTGGGCTGCTGCCCGGAGCAGGAAAAGACAGGACAAGACAACCACAGCTGCAGGAGGGATTTGCTTAGACAGGCTGGCTAAGGTCGCGTTCAAAGTCACTGTAGTGAGAGACTGAAGCCACGTGGGGACCTCGGGGCGAGAGGGGCAGCAGGCAACAACGGCAGGAGGCTCCAGGGCCAGGGCGCCTGGGCTCCGACGGCAGCCGCGCTGGCTGCTCTGCGACCCTGGCAGGTGGCTTCCCTGCCACGCCCTCAAGCCTGTGCTCCGGCGGGTGGGCCCAGAAAGCATGCCCAGTCCATACAGCTGTTGTAAGGACCGAGCGCGCAATCCATGCCAAGTGCCAGGACAGTGCCTGGCAGGCCCACGGCAGGTGCCGTCTCGGTTGTTTTTCTTGCACTCTAAGCTCTGTTTCACTCCTTAAGTATCTGTATCTTAAAGGGCTTCAAGTTCTGTCTTCATTTTTTTTTTTTTTATAACCCTAAGACTCAATGAACCCTTAGGCCCCTGGCTGTCAAAATGCGCACTTCTGGCCGGTACTATCTGGATAGCTTGGACCATTAGCGATTTCATGTCTGCGTTCTTGTTTGTTTCCTGTGAAACTGGACGCCTTCTTATTTCATTTGAGCAGTGCTGACAAAGGCTCAGTGGCCTTGGAACAGACTCCGCAGAGGGCAGGTAGAAGCCCCATCCCTATGGAGCATGTCCCCTGGCAGGGAAGGGCAGTAAGGACCGTGGAGGACAAGGTGGGGACACGAAGTGAGGGCGGGGTTCCCCGAGATGGAGGCCGGGCTGCATATACCAGAACCCAGCGCAGCGCTGACAACCGGGCTCAGGGAACAGAAAGTCTGGGTTTTTCAAAGTTCTCTCCCAACTCTAAGTGGGTGAAGAGAACCCACTGGATCCACGGCTGGTCTATTACTGTGGCCTGAATCTCTCTGGTCGATACTGAGGTAATTTTCCTTTAACCCACCTCCTAAGCATTAAAAAACTATATAGTCAAACTCTCCAATTTTGTAATTACAGTGCTTCCAAATAACCGATCCCAGGAAAATTCCTGTATGCCTAGAAATCAAAAATTAATTCACTTCCCCTGCTTTGAATATGATGTCACTTTATAAAAAGCAACCTGTAGAAGAATATTGTCTATTTGCAGTTTCTTGCCGTACAAGCTAAATAAACCCAGACTCTCCATGGGCTTCTCATCCTGAACATGGGTACGGAACTGGAAACACATGAACACCCTGCAAGCTTTCTTGACCGATTTTTCTGCCTGGAATTCACAGGAACAATAATAATAAACCTAACCCTATTGTGTTCACTTACAAGTAGACAAACGCCCATGTTCACGTCACGTTCTGAGAGCGAGATAAGCAAGGCAAGACACAGGCTTACAAGGAGCGCTTGCACACAACGTCGCCTATCTGTGAAGCGGTCCGAGGCCCAGACGCGTGTCGCGGTCTACAGTCCTAACCACACCGTCCTTCTCTGGTATCTCTGGGTTCTTTCATTCGGAAAACAGCAGCACTTCCGAATGGCCACGGCGGAAGTCATTCGTGTCGGGGGATGTGGAAAATAGAAAAGGGGAGTGAAGCAGCACAACATCACTCCTCTGTCACAGCGACTTATTTTATTATTTTATTTTATTTTTAAATCCTCACCCAATGATATGTCTATTGGTTTTAGGGAGAGAGGAAGGGAGAGAGAGAAATATTGATTGGTTGCCTCCCCTGCATGCCCTGAGCGGGGACAGAACCGCAGCCTGGCAGGTGCCCTGCCCAGGAATCGAACCCGCCACCCTTGGTGTATAGGGCAATGCTCCAACCACCTAAGCAACCCTGCCAGGGCCAAACTGACTTATTTTACCTTTCAGTCAAAGTGGGATCTAAAAAATTATCAGGATGCAATGTTCTAACACCAGCTGTTAATTTAATACAGGCTACAACACAGAGAGCACTATCTTCCTACACGATAAATGTTTTCCAGAGAGACGAATATATTTTCCGTTGAGTTCAAAGGTCGTAACTCAAAGCCCTAGTTACGCGACCCCAACCTCGGAAGAAAATGCCGACCGGCAGGAAAAGCGTTCCTCCTTAGCTCCACATCAAAATGCCAGTTCAGACCATTTCTGTTGGCTTTGAATGGGCCGGACTACCACCCAGAGATGAGAAAGAGTCAACAAGGGCTCTGAACGCCAACGTGACCTTGGGTAAGATGTACATTTTGCCAGGAGAGATGACCCACCCAGGTGAACTCCTCCACTCGTCAGCGGCTGTCTTAGAGGACACGCCACGGGCTGAAAAATGGGTCCTCTTGGCAGCCCCTCCTTTGTCCCTGAAAAAAACTCATTCTCCCTCTTCAGGCGCTCTGGTTCTCTTTCTTGGCGAAAGAAACACGTCCGAGGTGCCAGGGGCCGACCTAAGGGAGCTGCGACGTGTCCCTTCCATTCGGCCTCCTTCAGGGACCTGCGGTCTCAGGAACCCCCTTCTGCCTCACGCAATGCCAGTCTGCCCTTGCTGCTTCAATATTTTTAACAGCTTTTTTTTTTTTTTGCTCCTTTAGGAGCACCCATTTCTCCAGGTGGCCCAACTACTAGACAACTCTGTGACCTCGGGTAAGTCACGGATTTTGTGGGACCCCGGTTTCTGACCCACACACGAGGGCACTAGAACAAACGATTTCAAGGCCGCTTCAGGCTCCACAATGGCCCCCGCCCCTGATTCTCACTAAGCTACTTTCACTTCCATTCAGAGGTAGCAGGACGTGATAGGAAAGACGTGGATTTGGAAAAAAAGATCCACGTGGGGAAATCGTGTTTCCAGCACTGAGGTGGGAGTGTCTCTAACTCTTCAATTTCCTTCCTATAAAAGAGAGATGATAGGGCCTGAATCGCCGGCTAGTTATAAAGGTTAAATCAGACCATGCCAACTATTGACAGTCGTTTGCTTATAATAGTCTTAATTTTTTAAAAAATTGCCCCTGGTTGTTTTCAACCCGGGGCTTCCTTTAGAAATCACTATGAAGCGGAAGCTCTCCATAATCACTTGTGGCGTGAATTATTTCTTCAGTCATCACATTAAAATATTTCTTCTTGATAGCTATTTCCATTTTCAAATAAAGAGTCTGTTTCTTTAATTTCCTTTTTTGTAAATATTCCCCAAATGAGAGTGGCCTCCTTTATAACTGCGCTCCTGAAATTACAGCTTTCTGCTTTTTAAGGATAATTGCTTTCCCCGCTCTGATGCTTGCTTTAGAGGTGGATGCCTGCACACCCCAAGTTCTGGGGCTCCCCGCACCTCAGAGAAGCTACGTTACATGTGTTCAAAGGTAGAGTTCAAGTCTTATGGGGGCACAGCCATCTCCCCAGGGAAAACTCACCTCTCCAAATCTCTCCGTGTTTTGTATTTTGGATAAGTTTCCACCAATAGACATGTCATCCAAGCTAGAAAGAATTTTATTAATACTTCCTTCACTGGACGGTCTATTTTTCAGTTTGGATCGGAAAATGTCTCCCTGGACCCATAATGATGCTTGTTTTCTGTAAAAACGGAGAGAAAACAAAACAGCCTGTAAAATAAGGTACTATCATCTCGGAAGTATAATGTCTTATGAGCAAAAAGGCTTGCAGATAAACACTTACAAATCAGAACAGGAAGATTATGAAGTCTTAGGACAAAAATGAAAGCCACTTTCCAGTACCGCAATAAGTTAAAGTTCTATATAAAACACAAATAACCATCTTCCAATATAGGTCTAGATAGCCACACAGGGGTTGACTATTAGAGGTGCTCAGATGCTTAGAACAAATTCCACAGCAATAAAGACGGTGAGCCCCTTTGTCTTTTAAAGATGAATTGAAATCTGTAGGTTATGCTGGGTGTACGCATCAAGTGGGAGAACGGCGGTGGCTATTTTCTCTCGTGGCAGGTTATCTTGCCTTTTGGAAGCAAACCACAGAGGAATTTTTCTGAGCCTAGGATGTGCAAATTGATGAGGTTAGCGTAACAACTCAATCACACTGAACTTTTCTATTCCAGCTGTAAAAATAGGTATTCAAAACAAACTCTTCTCGATTCTTTCTTCCTTCCTGGAAATCTTCACAGAACCATGGAGTAGCCTCCCTCCTACTTTGCACTCTCAAAAAAAATCTTGCTTTAGTTTTTGCTTCCTCCAAACTATTTCCACTTAATGCTGTACGTGGCATAGCGCTTTCTCTAACGCTTGAATCTTATGGCCGTAGCATAGTCCTTGACAAGGTAGGAACAGTTCAAAAAATAATGGTTACATTTATAAATGAATGTCTTGGGCCTCTGGTCAAACCTCCCAGGAATAAAGAATTACGACTTCACAGGGAGAGAAAATTCAGTTCTGTCAAAGACAGGGAAAAATTTAGGTGAAGTGAAACAGAGAAAGGATAGGGGTATACAGATAAGACAGAATCCCTGGCCCTCAGGAAGTTCCCAGGTTAGTATGGGGGAAAAAAAAATCTGAATCCAGTATTAAAGACCCGTAACCAAGATCTGCTGAGGACCCTGGGAGAAGGGGCTCCTGACTCAATGTGCAGGCATCGGAGAAAAAGCCTGAGCATCCAGCCGTACCTGGAGAGGCGAGCAGGGCTGAGCCCGCAAGGGGAATTCCCAAAGCAAAGAAAACATGGGAGCGGAAAGAAATAGTGAGATCAGAGAACACGGCGTGTTTTGAAAACTGAGGTGGCTGAAGTAAAAGTGAGATGAAAGAACTCAGCGTGTTTGGGAAAAACGGTTGTTTGATTTGGCCCGCGAGGCAAGCTGGGGAATTCAGAGCCGATCTCCAAGTTGAAGGGAAATGTACCGGAGCTCTTTCATCCTCTCTTCCATGGAGAGGCTGCTTCCAAATCCTGGCGATTGTAACTAATGCTGCAGAGAGCATAGGGTGCATATGTTCTTGTGAATTAGTCTTTGGGGTTTCTTCGGGCAAATTTCCCGAAATGGAATCGCTGGGTCATATTTTTTTTTTGAGGTAACTCCATATTGCTGTACTACTTGGCTGTAAAAAAGAAGAAAATGTCACCCTTTGCGACAGCATGGATGCACCTGGAGAGTAGTACGCTAAGTGAAATAAGCCAGTCAGAGAAAGACAAGTGCCATGTGATCTCATTCCTACGTGGGATCTAATGAACAAACTGAAGTAACAAGCACAACAGAGGCAGCCTCACAGATGGAGAGCAGATGACAGTTTGCGGGTCGGGGCTGGGGGCGTGGAGGGATTGAGCGAAAAAGAAAAAGGCAAAAGGACTCACGGACACAGACAACACTGTGGGGATCGCAGGGGCGGAGGGGACAGTGGTGGAAGAGGGTATGGGGGGGTGACAGATGGTAATGGAAAAAATTTAAATTTGAAAAAGACTGAAGGGAAGACCTTCCAGGGTCTTTAGGCGGGAGGAGGGAACATGATGTGGACTCATGATGAAGGCAGAGAAGTTTGAGGCTGAAAGTAAAAAAATTCCAACTGTAAATATTATAAAATGAAACGTCTGAGAGTGCTGCCGGCCTAAAGATGGAAATCACACAGTGACACCTTTCACGTGTTCAGCTTAAAAGACTCCTCCTGCCCCATCCCTGGAGACTTGATGCGAGCCTGAATATCAACGATGAGTAGGTGCCGAAGCCGGTTCCGCGTTGCTAAGCGATGCAGCGCAGCAGCGCTTCTCAGGAAAAAGTGGCTCCTCCTGCAAACCCCTGTCTCTCGACTATGGAAACCACGCCAGCTTGTATTGTGGTATCTATTGCTCCTTAAAAGCTTCATCTCAAACAGAAGTGAATTGTGTATTTCTAAGTATTTAGCATTTGAACATCAAACACTGCGACACTAACACACCAACTCAAAGCAAATCCTCCGGGGATGTAGTACGTTTCCCAAGAGCATGTGCCCCTCCCCCTAAAGAATGCGCACTTGGAAATGGCAGGGCGACACCTGTCTTGATGCAAAGCAAGCCCTGTAGAGGGAAGCAGCTGGGGTCATTGTTCTGGGCCAAGTCCTGGCCCTGGACTGGCCAGGCCTGGGACGTAAATAGTGAACTCAGCCTCCCTAAGAGCCAAGCTGTAGTTAAGTCTGACACTGAGCCTTGAACCTTTTTTAAAACCTGCTTTTTGAATTCCCCTGAAGAAAGTCAAGTCAGTTTATGGTTTTGGACGCAGAACAGGGGGCGGTCACTGTACACCTGGCTCTGCCTGTGGCCGACCTCCCCTCCCCCACTCCCCGAGTCACCCTAACCCTGTCTCCACAGCGTCCAGCTCCCTGCCTCCCTCACCTCTCCCCTTCCGGACACACTGATCCCGTATGACCCCACCCTGCCCCAGGGCCCATCCAAAGCCACCGTTGGGTCATTCTGTGGAGAAACCCAACCCACTTTCTAACTCAACCTGCAGCTCCTCTACTGCGACTTCGGCACCAGCCTTGGGCATCTCCTGACCCGCCGCCCCAGGGCTACTGTGGGAACAGAGGCCGCTACTGGACAAAAGGATCGGGCTAATGATATCGTCTGACTTGATATCCAAGGAAGGCGCCCCAGAAAGCAGGACGCAAGTCTCCGGAGGTGGAAGGAGACAGGTGTTCAAGGAGAACTGCGATCACCTTGTACAAAGGGAAGACTTAATAGGAAGAGGTTCAGAGAGAATTGAGGAGGGTGTAGGGGAAGCTCCTGACTCTGAAGCACACAGGAAATGGAGCTAGAAGGGAGAGAAACGATTCGAGAAATTCCCGGAAGAGCCAAGAAGCTAGATCTAATGTAGGTAAGGAAGCCCAGGGACCGCTGCGGTTGGGGTCGCGTCAAAATACACACTTGATACCTACACCCAATGCGTTACTACACCTCTAACCCTTTTCACACAGAAAACCAAACAAGTATCACTCGATCTTCCACGGTAACTGGATGAGTATTCCAAGATAAGTTTCTGAAGCCACCATTGCCAAAAATTCTTCCCGGCACCTTATTTTATTCTTGTTTAGCCAACAGATTCAATGCCAACTGGCCATCAAGTGAATCGAATGATGCGACAGTAAATACTGAAAAGCGATTCCCAATTTCTTAGTAACTGAGTGTTATTGCTAAAATGTAACGCTCAAATACAGTTCCAACTCAAGCCTAAGCTTTATGCTTGTTAGTCTAATAAATAAACCACAAGATGGCCTAGGATTATTTTAAATCCTTTTATTTCTAATATTGTAGATTTTAATTTTTTCTGTTTTAGGAATAGCAATTTCTTAAAGCTTTAAAATAGATTATTAAGAGAAGTTAATCCACTTTCCTTGATCTTATGCACGTACCCCCCAAAATAATAATAATAAGGAAACAGTAGGAATCAATTATAATTAAAAACTCAAGCTGTCATTGTTAGACATTTTCAAGCATTCTTCCATTTCTTGAACAGGTGTCCTTCATCTTATTTTTGGTAATGTCCTGAAGTAAAAAGCACTGGCTGAACGATTAATTTCTGGTGTCACTCAGTTCAATGGTGAGATTTACCAAATGTTCTACACACCAAACCGAACGTGCATTAAGTTGACATGTGCAGGCAGAGACTGAGCCGCAGACCCTTGTTACACGGCGTGGGGGGTGGCGACCAGCATCCCCTGGTGCCTGTGGGAAACGCAGCGGCTCGGGCGCCCCCACCCCCACTCCTGGCTCAGGAACCACGTTTCCTGCGCAGGCCCCCCTGAGGCTTAGGCGGCTCGGGATTGAGAAGCGCTGTAGACAGACAGCGGAACGAGAACATGAAAAATATCCAGCCGACCGGACATGGGCAAAAATAAGCGGAATGAGGGAAATTTCTGATTTCCGGATTTAGAAATAAAAAAAGAGTTCAAGCACAAAATCGTCACGTCCTTAAAGGTGACTTCACACAAAATGGAAGCTCCACGCTGCCAAGACTCCGCTGCGTGCGAGGTCCGGGCTGAGGTTTAATGAGGTTTCCAGGAGGAAGTTTAAAAATAAAGACCACAGCATGACGTGGGCCTCGTAAGGAAAACACCCCGGGAAGTGAGGTGTATGAGTGTGTACATATAATATAAAGAACATATATACATATAATCGTCAGATCTCATCACTTCTGTGCTCAAATCCCATTGCTGAGCATCCCTCTCACGCAAAGGAAGGAGGCGGAAGCCTGGGAAAGCCCGGGAGAGATGCCCACACGTGCCGCGCGGGCTCCAGGACATGGGCCCAGGGCCACAGGGCCGGGCCTCAGACACGAGCCTGCCTTCGGGGGCCTCACCGAGGGCTTCTCCTGACTGACTGCAACGCCACAGGCACCCAAGGAGTCAGCCGCCTGGAACTACAGTAGTGGTTCCCGCCCGAGGAAGGACCCCCAATGCTACGGTTTAAGTGCCTATCCACGAAAAACACCTTTCTTTACAACCGAGAGCGCCTTTGCCTCGTGACTTGCTTTCTCGGCTGTCGTCTGGAGCTGTGGCAGAGAGCGCGGACGTCGCAGGGGGCGAGAAGGGGGATCGTGCAGGTGTGGAGTGGTACTGGATGCCCGAGGAAAGCTAGGCGACCTTGGCCTGTTCTCAGCAGAGCGCCGAGTGCCAGGTGAGTCCTCAGTGGGAACCTACTGAATGAACACTCTTCCAAACAACGGTTTTAACAGATGCCCAGTGAGCCAGGCTTACAAATGGTTTTGCTCTCTCATCCTAAGGTCATTTGTTCAACTTCAGCAGGAAGCTGGACGACAAGCCCCCAACACACACACACACACACACACACACACACACACAGCACAGAGCTCACGGTTCAGGACACACATGGAAAATAGTGGAAACCACAGGTAGAGAATCCAGTCAAGGGTAAAGCTCTTGAATAACGTAGTTATTCTACCCATTTGTATCTCATAGGCCAAAAGCCTAACAACTTCTGTCTTCCTAAGGCTCCTGTTCTTGGGTATTTTTTTCTTGAGTATCACTACAATTCTGCCTCACTCTCTTAGGCTGTGAGGTGCGTGAACATTTTTCCACACTGGGGTTCTGCTCGGTTAGTCTCCCAGGAATTGGTAAGGACAGTAATTCCTCACAGGCTCAGAGCCCTGGCACCATTTCCGAAGTGAGTCACTCCCTTACAGCATCTTTCCATGAAATTTACAGTTGTGTGCTTCTCAGGGACAGAAAATGATTTAAAGAGAAAGGAATGAATTGTATAGAAAAGGATGCTATCCAAAATAAAGCCATCCCAGCATCCAAAGAGAAAAAGGAGTGAGATTTCAGTATAAGAGATCATTAATTGACAGGGCCCTAGAGCTGGACCTAAAGACACTGGTGTTAATTTCATCTTCTCGCTTTATTAATGAATGAATCGGTGGTGACTTCCAGTTATTTTTAAGGGGAAACCAGAAAGGCTGTGCCCTTACAGATTTATCTGTCCCCTTTGTGGACCAGGGCTTGACAAAAGGCTAATGCCCGGGTACAGGAAGGGAAGAACGGTTTCTAAGAATTCTCCTCGGGACCGCAGGGCCAGGATGGACCAGCTCGCCCTTCCTTCCTGGCTAACGCCTGCGTGGCAGCCACACAGAGGCTGACTTAGCTGTCCGGACATTAGCGACCCCCCGGAGTCACCGATGGACCTCAGCGCGGGTTACTTTTGATCTCCATTCTGCTTTGAGACATGCAAACAAAAAAGACTGAAAAGTGCCACGTTGGACAACATCCGAAAACCGTACTGTGCCCGAGGACACGACAGGAAGGAGGGCAGCCGAAGGGGCTGTCCCGGAACGAAGGGAGAGAAAAGGCACAGTCTTGAGCCGCCCGGCGGCAAGACTCTACAGGAGGTGCCGACCGCACTGGCATCGCCGCGGGCTGACACCGTCCGGGGAAACTGAGGCAGGGGTGACCAGGAACCCAGGCGTAACCCAGTCAGGGGGGCAAGAGACTTACTCTTCCAAGAAGTGCTGCTGGGGTCCTATGATGGAGCCCGGCCGGCAGATTCGGATCCAGGAGATTATCTCGGCGTGCGTGAACCTGTAATGCTTCATGACGTAGCAGGCTATCAAGGTGCCCGTTCTCCCGAGACCGGCTGCAAGAGAGGGCACAGACCGGAAATGCACACCGCCACCAACGGACCCCTCCCGTGGGCCCTTCCTGCTCCAATGTTCTGCTCACACTGTTTCAGGAGGGGACGGGCTTGGGGGCCAGGGGGCCTGTTTTCGCGTGAAGCACCTTCTGCCCTGATCCACACCAGGGTGCTCAGAAAAGAGCTGGGTGTGACTCTGGCCTCCACACAGCTCTCCTTTTACCAGATGAGCTAGGAGACGCTTGCCTTTGTTTCTGCAGAAGCGCTCACTGCCCGGACACCTGCCGAGACAACGGGCGATCTTGGCGGCGGGACCCAGCCCAACGGCCAGGAGCAGGGCCTGGAGCAGGGCCCGGGGTTCGACCGGTGCCGGGGCCCCTTGGATGGCCTTTGTGGGGACAGCAGTGGCTCCCAGGCTCCCCTCCCTATGCGGGGGGCTGCCAGGGTCCCTCTTAGGCTCCTCACCATGCACACACTCACATCAAAATGAAGGCTGTGCAGAAGATGTTCCAATTTCTCTGAAACTGAACTTGCTTCCCCCATTCAAAAAGAGTCTATAATTTAATCTATAAAAAGAATGTACTTTGCATTCTCACCACCGTCAGGCAGCATAGGAGCGTTTCGCTAAGTTTTTATAAAAACTTTAACAAATTTGTCGGAGCGTTCATAATTAAGGGGCTCCCTAGCCCAGCAAGACAAGGAGAGGAAACGTATTCTATTTACACCGAGCGCCATGCCAACTGCGTGACTGCTCCGGGCACTGCCTGAAACCCCTATCGAACGTCAACAGCCACACACCAGAACGTCACTGCATTGCCATTTTTTACATGATTATTTGTGCTAGAAAATTTCAAGAATTCACAGCCACCGGTTTTCTCAACCAGAAGGTGACCTGGAGACACTGAATTGTCGTGAGACTTCACCCATTCCTAGCAAATCTGTTCCTCGTTTGGCTCTCCGCACAGGACTTCATGTCGTGGCACGACATGTCCGTCCTCTTCCCGACAGCCATCAAGGTGCATTTGACATGGAGTGAGATTCCGCTGCCTCCTCCTTGTAGTGCCGCTAAAATGCTCAAGGCTGTCTGAAATCCCAGAAAATTAAGCTGACTTAATTAGGGCAGATGTCAAAATAATTAATGGGCCCATAACAGATAACTATGCTATTAAAAGCAATACAGCTGTAATTAAACTAAAGGTATAATCCTTATAAAAGAATCCTAAGTGTGTACACAAGTGGAAGCAAATGAAACACTCTCAAAAAGGTGTTACCACATGTAAATGTGACCTTCCCGCACAAGAACTGACCTCAGTGCTGAAGGACCTGAGTTTAGGACTGCCGGTCAAGATGGCGGAATAAGTCTACAGTGTGCTCACCACGTCCCATGACCACATCAAAATTACAACTAAATCATGGAACAACCGTGCTGAGAACCACCGTCAGACTACCCATATAGAAGTCCCACACCTAAGAAGAGGCTACACCGAGACTGGAATGAACCAAAACTGTGATAAATTGTTTTAAGGCTAAAAAGAACAAACCAAAAGGCTCCGGTTTTAAATAAAGATGTAAAAACAACTCCACACTACAAAATAAGTGTCAGCATTCACAGACCAAGGATATAGTGGAGAGGAATACCCGTAATGGGGATGTTTACACCAGAAAGTATGTTTCACAATGTTCGTTAGTGAAGAAAGCGATCAGGAGAGATGCTGAGCTTTAATAAAAGCTCCGCATTTCCTCTCCCTTGAACTCGTCAATCCAAGACATGACACACAGACACAATACATGACTTGGTCCTCACAAAACGAACTTTCTCAGAAAACAGGCCAAATTCACCCCAGGGAAAATACTGATTTTCATGACACAAAAATAAACTTTGAAAGAAGGCATGTGAGTGTCTCCTCCTGAATAAAGGTAACTGCTGTGTTCCCATGAGCTCTCAGATTCTATTTGACATGCTATTGTCAAATAGACATGCGTGAAAGGCAGGCTTCGTCTTGGGCCTGGGCCATCATCCTTCACAGAATGAGACAGAAAGGCAAAGTTAGGGTGCATATCGACCACCTCTGGGGCAAGCCTGTTCACCAGCACCCCGCTGTGACCTGCTCAGAACTGAAAACAGCCATCGGCAATGGGTGAACAAAAGACACCTTCCTAAGAGGCAGGGAGTCCTGCGTCAGGGCTCCGTCCTGCTCAGACACAGGGTGGGGGCTGCGTCAGTGTGGCTGAGCCCGTACCAGGAGCCCCTTGGCACCTGGGCCACGTGCGCCTCACTTCCCTCCCCCTGGGTCCCAAGCGAACGCAGCTTTCGCTTGCGCTCACATGTTCAGCAAAGTACCTCCACCTACTCAAATCTTAAACATAGAACAGGGGCCTGCTAAATGGTATTTTAATTGCTGTCAGAACCAGAGCTGAGCGTGTCTGAATAAGTCAGTCACAGCAGCACCAGGCACGTGAACAGTGCGATCCCCGACACCTACCAGAACGATTGGCACAAGACGCAACAGACATGTGAACAGCACCACCCAGAGGCACTCTGAAAGGCTGCATGTGGGGAGCGCATCCCAGGGAGGCCAAAGGGATTCCTCCCGCTTCTCGCTGGAATCAAAGGCCCCAGCAAAATACCTCCCACCGCGCCCGAGAGTCTACGATGGCGTCTGAGCCCCCTCGACAGCTAATGCTTGGAGCAAACATCCTTTCCTATTCGCTGAGCAGCTCACACAAGGTTGCCAGGGAAAATACAGCATCGTATGTTCCGTGCCCTGAGCCATACCAAAAAAAGTATTCATTGTTCCAAACTGCATTTTAACTTGAAACTCTGACCACCTTAGGTCGTCTATAGTGCCCACCCCTAGAGAGCAGAGATTCGTTTACAGAACCACGTCTTGCAGTTCATTCAAAGAGACAAGCTAACTAGCCAGTGGCTCCAGGGTGCTGCTGTCCCCTAGCAATGGGCAAGGAAGACAGTCAGCGATGCAAACGGCCCGTGGGCAACCGAGGGGCCAAGAGGAAATCGGTCCAGACAGCCGCTGGGCCAGCAAACGAGAGTATCAACTGTCCGATGGGTGGAGGAGAGAGGAAAGGAGACAGCCAATCCTGGAAGGAAAAAGAGAAAGGGAAGCCACAACCCCTTGCCTCTTTTGACAAGTGTACCTATTCACAGGTGCCGTGACGGTGGCCTACAGACACTGTCCCCCTCGGGGAGGGCCTGGCGTCAGCGAGCCTGACCTCAGAAAGGCCACATCGCTGCTGCTGAGCCACATCCAAGCAACCCTTTCCTAGGGAGGGTTTCTTTCAATAGGTCTGTGTCCCACTTTTCTGAGACCAGAAAAGATCTCTTTTCTCTTCTAAGACACGAGCTGGTTCTGCCAGACGTGATTTGCTGGGCCTGGGCTCGTCCCCTTTCGGGGGCCCGCGGCCGGGCACGCACCTTTGCAGTGAACAGCGATCGCCCCTTCCGTGTTCTCGCAGATGTTCAGGAACCTCCGCACGATGTTGTCGCTGGGCGTGCTGCCGTCGATGAAGAAGAGGTCGTAGTGCTCGAAGCCGGCGTCCGTGAAGCGCTTGGCCTCGTAAATCTTCTTGTTCAGCCTCACGATGGCTGTCACATTGTGCTTTTTGAAGTAAGGGAAGTAGGCTTCGGGGGCGTGGAGAGGGTACCCTAGGGGGAGAAGGACCCGCAGTCAGCTCGGCGGGGAACCGGGGGACACCCACGCCAGCAGGAACGTTTGTGACAGGCAGCAGCGCCTCAGGGGGGCCGTGCAGCCCAGGACAGAGCAAGGCCCCCGCCCTTCCCTCCAAGCGGCCGTCTGAGGAGCTGGGGGAAGCCCCGCAGAGGGGAGCCCTCCCCTGGTCACCGCAAAGGGCTCCTTCCCAACGGCAGTGGTCAAGTCCCGGGAGTGCCTCCCGCCAAGTCCCAGGCCTCGCCCCCCAGCTGGCCTGCAAAGGCCCATTGTCCCTTCTGGTGCAGGGGACAAAAGCTTTTCAACTGTAGTTAAAGCCTTTCTGCCAGGTGGACAGCCTCAACCGATAGTGCAGCCCCCCGCCAAAGGGACTGTTAATTAAGCGCTTATTGTGTACAAACCGCGATTGCCTCTTTTTTTAATTCTCAGAACAGCCTGTGAAGAATAATTAGCCCCATGGAGCAGATTCAGAAACTAAAAGAGGCTGAGTAATTCTTTCGTAGACATTTTCTCCTGGGGGAGCTCAGGCATTCCGCCTCTAGACCCGCTTCTATGTGGAGGGGGTCCGGCGTGACGTGAGTGTCCCCGGGTGCTACAGTCAGCCGGGTCACAGACACATGGCCGGGATTTGGTCGGTCAATCGAGGGGAACCCTGGGGGCTTTGGCCCCTGCAGGCCTTGTCGAGCAGCCTCGGGCGGCGAGGGGACTGAGCTGCCAGCACACACCGCCTGCCGCTGCGGTGCCCCGCCAGCGCCCCTGGCTCTCGGCAGGCAGACCAGCTGAGACGCCCTCGCTCAGAGCTCGTCTGTGGAGCCCGCGCAGCGGGCCAAGGGGGCCGGCGGTTTCCGCACTGTGACCCTGCCTGGGTTTCCTGCCGCCTCCAGCCCCGCCATTTCTCCTTTTGTCTCAGCCCACCCTCTCGCACCTGCCCTAAGACGCATTTCCCAGATGACCTGTCCAGCTGACTCCCTGCTGGTTCTGAAATTGGGAGGCACCAAAGGGTGCCTCCTGACTGTGTGGCTTCAATGGCTGAGGACAGGAGCGGCTGCAGCTCCCGGCCTCCCTCGCTTGACCCCACGTACAGACCCCAGCCCAGCTCTGCCGCAGGTCCTTCAGGGCTCCTGCCGTCAGCCTGGCTCCTCCAAGCTCCCACGTCCGGTGACCCCACTCCTCTCTGCTGTCCCCCAGCCTTAAAAGCAACAGCTGTTCCCCCGAGGAAATTCTGGTTTCCTCAGTGCTGCCCGTTCGCTTTTGGGCCTTCTCGGTAACAGCCGCCTCCTGTTAAGTCCCCTCTGTCGAAGCAGGGCTGCTTCATCCCTGCCTGTACCCCGCGGGCCCATTGCCCCCTTGCATCCTGCTCATGTCTGAGGCTCGCTCTCGGGCCGCCCCCCGAAGGCCCGACTCCCCAGCATAACTCTCATCAGTACCCTTGGGCTTCCTTTGCCAGGGTTGGTTCTGCCTGCAGCCCAGAGCCCGAGGGTACACTTGGCCAGGGTCCTGCCAGGGTTGCGGATGGAATCGGAAGGCAGGCCTGACCAGTCCACAGCTCAGATACACAATCTCCCCTTCAAGCAAAAAAAAAAAAAAAAAAAAAAAAAAAAAAAAAAAGGCCATAGAGCATGTTGGCAATCTTCTGTGTAGAAACAATGCCTCATACACACACATTTAGGAAAACAAAGGCTTTTCGACTTGGGAAAAATCGTATCTGCGCTCCTAGTTGGTTTGTTACCTTAACCGTTGTTCTTTTCAGAAAAGAACACTGGACAGTTACCAAATATGGCAACAGGACACTGAAATCGTAACGATGATGATGATAATCGTACCTAACGTTTACTGAGCACTTAGGATGTGCAGGCTCTAAACCCTACAGTTACGGAGTGCGCCTGCCGGGAGGGGGCGCTGGCCCCGGAGCGCACAGCGGGCAGGAGGGGAGGGCGCCTTGGAAGCCTGGAGTCAGATGCTGGGGTCTGTGCTGGGGCGCCTTTAAGGGAAAAGAACCAACGTGAGGCTGACTGCTGGGCCTCCAAAAAAACTCGGGACGTTCTATGAACATTAGGAGCTGCACTTCCTAGAGTTGGTGAGCAGGTTTCTTCGAGATCCCCAAAAAGTGCTTCCAATGAGCCCCCCTCGTTGTACAACCAAAAACAATGGCAATGTCCTATGACCTTCGGAACCTTTGCTTGTGGGCGCTGCTTTTAGCTCCCTGCACGTGGCTGACAGAGCGCTCGGCCGGCCCTGCTCCGTCTGGCCGCTAGGTGGTGCCCCGACCTCAGTAAAAAGCACAGGCAGGGCTCGGCGCTAACCGCCCTTCAAAACAAGTTTCTAGGGCTGAGAGCAATTGAAAAATCCGTCTCTTCCCCAACCCTTCATTTGAAGTCAATAAACTGAAGAACAGCAGAGTCAAAGGGCTTACCCCCTCCCAATCACTATTAAACGTAAAACCTGCAAAACGGGCAGGCAAATGGAGCAAATAAAACATGAGGCTCATTCGTGGTGAAAATGTAATCAGAATACCTGCTACCGAATAAGCACCTATGATGTGCCCGACACTGTGCAAAGCACTTTATACATCACCAGTCCCCGTTAGATCCCTGCCAGGTGCCCTCTGTTCCCCTCTTTGATATGGGAGGAAACTAGGACTCAGAGTGGGCAAGAAGCTCCAAGTTCACCGGGCGGGGAGGGGGAGGGGGAGCCGGGCTTCCACCTGCGCAGGCTCCGCCCACCCGGCGGCTCCCATTGGAAGGGCAGGCTGACCTTCAAATGGCTGGCATTCCCGTCTCCAGCTGTCTTTCTCCGCACTGCCTTTTTTTTTTCTTTGTTTGTTTGTTTTGGGGGGGCGTTGTGCGGTGTCTTTCTTTTAAAATAAAGAGGGGAAGGATATCACCACCTGAGAGTTCCGTGGGTTCATTTGTCTCTTTTTTAGAAAATTTGCAATCCAAAATATGCTTCAGTCTACTGCTATATTATTCATTGAACCAATTCGAACTTGTTTAACCAGAAAAAAGGCAGGGCTCTCCTCTTCCCCACAGTCAACAGCAGCTCTCTGTTGACACAACACGCACTTCAGGCTCTCACGACATGCTCTGCTGGGTTGTGGGGCCACCTTGGGCGACGTCCTGGCGACAGATGAGCAGATGAGTGCGAGTTCCTTCCAAATCTACCTCTTCTACTATCAACCCCCTCACCTGACTTTCAGCCGCCTCGGGAAACACACAGCTTCTCAAGTCAAAAAAAAAAAAAAAAGTGTGGCAAGATTGCACTGTAATTGGATCAAGTTTATTAATTCCATCACAAATTAATTTTAAGTTCAAAAAGCATTTATAAAGTTAAAGCCCTTTACAGAAAGCATGATGAAGCTTCTAGTGAATATCGGATCTTAAAATGGGCATTCTAGTAAAATAGCAGTATTTTACCAACGACAGCCTTAACGAGATTGTCCTAGACGTAAAACCGACAATCACTAGGTAAACAGCACTTTCGGGCCTTCCTCTTTCCTCTCACAGTGAAGGGACACAATAAATGCACGGGGAAAATAAACAGAGGTATGTAGAGCAATATCTTACATAATTACAGGGGACCTTTTAACTATATTGCTTAAATTATGTACTTCCTCTGTAATAAAATTTAAAAGAACACGGAGTTTGGACTCAGAGAGGCCTGTGTTGGAACCCACCTTCCAGCTGTGGGAACCCGAGCAAGTCAGGCCAGTCCTCGGGGCCTCCGGCTTCTCCGGCCTAAAGCAGGTCCCACCGGCCCCGCAGGGAGGTTTCGATTGTTAAGAAGACGGCCCACAAAAGGCTTGGCACGTCCCTGGCGTGCAAGCCAACCGTGGCTATGACCATATCCCTGTATTTGGTTCGGAACCAAAAAGAATTTTTGAAAGATTTTTGACAATTAAGAATTATCACCCAAAATGTTTGTATCCTTTTACCTAGTGAGTCGACATCTCAGATTTCAGAGAAGAAACTAGAGTTCCAATAAAAGATCTGTGAACATGCCTGCCCACCGGAAGTTTTTTAATTAGTCCTCGTCCCAAAATGATTGATTGATTGACTGATAGAATTATGGCACAGTCACTGAATAAAGCCATTGGAAATTATAATGAAGGTGCACATACACTGCCCATGGGAAGCAGTCTGTGTATGTTACACGAAAAAGATGCTAAAAGACAGCAATTACATCATGATTCCATACTTGTAAAAAAAGGTAAATAAAAATATTTTTATAAGTGTCTCTGGGTGTGTATTCACACTGAGAGAGAAAAACATGTGTGCAAGTAAAAAAATAAAGAGAAGCAGAAGGAAGGAAAATTAAAATCCCCAAATAATCCCACCACTAACTAGTCACCCTAGAAAAACCTGGGGAGAATTAGAGGTCATTTTATGCTCTTTTTTTATTGGTTCACCTGCATTTCCTTCTTTAAAAAAAAAAATAAGCAAGTAGTACCTCTCTAAAAAAATACGTTAAATGATTTTTTTAATTACACCTCATCTTCTAACATCATAAAACACATGAATTCTAAGTGGCAAACTCCATTCCACTTCGCCGACGACCCCCACACGGCGGAGGCACTACCGAAACCACACGCCTGCGCAGGTTTTCTGGGACTGAGTCAGGTCCTCTCCTGCCCAAGGCCGATGGCAGCTTTGGTCGGTCCTGCCCTCGGACCGCCTGTCGGGCGGGGGCCGTCTGCTCAGACACTCAGCGGGGCACCCCCAACGGCCCCCAGGGAGAGGTTCATTCATTCATCGAGCCTCGGGCTGAGAACACTCGTGGGCAAATTCCCGCGGAGCACGCGATTCTGGCTTCCCAGAGGCCCCCTGTCTGTTAGCTGACCTCTCCGGGGTCCCTGCCCCCCGAGGAAAACTAGCCCAGGCAGCTTCCCAGGTGCGCGATGTCACAGGTATGGAACGATGGGCACATGTGTGCAAACTCCAGGAAGTGATCGAGTCTAAATGCATGAATAACGATATATGACAAAACTAGATTTTAGAGTAAAACACTTGTGATAACAATGATGAAAGAAGACTAGTCTAGTCGGGGGATTTCAAATCACGTCCCCTCGCAGGACGGGTGGTCCGGGGCTCTGAGCAGACAGAGAGCAGGGAAAGGAGCTATTATGTTTGTTGGTGGCGCTTTAAAATTTTGAGTACTTCTCCCCTAAATTACTCTTCACCCTTTGGTGACTGTCATTACCTGTCTTCTAGGGAACGCTGGCGGGTGAAAAAAGAAGTAGAAAATAAATACTAATGAGGAAACTCAAATAGCTGATCATGTTTCGTTCAAGAGGCTGATGTTTTGTTTTGCTTCTTTTTCCTGAGTGCCGTGCCCCAGCGTGGCGTAGGCTGCAAATGAGCGATTTAATGACTGTGCGCGACCGAACTGTCCCGCGTCATGAAGGAACCACACAGATCAGTGTTCAGCAGCTCAGCTCTGGGATGGAGCGTCCGTTACTTCACGACCTCGGGCAAATTCCCACTCACAAGCCTCAAATTCCTCCTGCATAAAATGAAGATACCAGCACCCATGCCTCTTAGGGGTGTGCGTGCATTCAATGAGGTGATGCTTTCGTGAGCTAACCTCTAGCACATAGTAGGTGCTCAATGAAGGGCCCCTAGTGTTGCCACCGTCATTATCAACGAGGCGTTCCCCAGAGAATACTTCGATGCACAGCACCCCGCCGCCGGTAAATCAGGGCCGCTAGGAGGACTCGGTCACCTTCTTATGGGTCTGACCAGCTTCTCAGATTCCCCCCTGACAACTGGGTCAGGGGGGCGAGCGTCCCGCCCAGGACAACGGAAGTACCTGCCACGTTCGGCGCAGAAGTCACACAAGCGACTCAAGTACAAGACACCGCCACTCAGGTTTTCAGGTTCCGAGTATGTGTGGGCGAACGCCACCGAAAGAAAGGGTTTTCGGAGAAAATTAAGAAGTTAAGGATGAACGGAAATAAATTCGTGGAGGGTAAAGTAAAGAAAAACCTACCATTTTCGATTTTGCTTTGTGGATGTGGTCCGCTAAATGCTAAAAATTTTCCCGGGACAATCCAGTTGAAGTCACCGTTTTCCACTCGCTGGCGGAGTTACATGGGAAGAGAGAAGAAACGCACGTTATAACTCTCATACAACCGAGGAACCCCTAACAGATAAAGCTGCTTTCGTTCCATGAGGGCGGGGCTCACCTGGCGCACGTGACCACAGAGTAACACAGGCTAAGTAAAAACGTGCGCTGCTTCTCAGGAGGGTTTTTATGAATTCAATCCACCTCCGCAATTTTTATCTAGACTGTACAGCAGTTCTTAAAAGCTGTATTTAAGGAGAAGTACTTTGCTTAAAATAATTTGGTCTCCTGGCCACTCTGCAATGGAAGGCAATGAAAACAAACATTGCTTGTCCCGGCAATAAAGGAAAATAAGAGAAAACAGAAAATCCATGCACTTTCCACGAACGCCGAATATGTACATTAAACAATAAAAAAATATATGCATCAGGGTCATGATGAACACGCTCATCTTTTTCTCTGTTTGTGTAGGTAGTTATCTGTTGCCAATGTTGATTCTGAGCCTGGGAAACGGAAGGACGCGGGAGCAGGGGCAGGACCTCGTGCCGCCCCCAAGGTTACGCTGCGACCCGTTCGGCCCAGGTCGCCTGCCGCGGCTGCAAACCACACAGCTCAGGGGTCCGCAGGAGAGGGCTGTCGGCAGGGGATCCTCAGCAACGCGGCCCCTCTTCCGATAGTGTTTTCATGGGAAATCTCTCCGTGTTTGAAATTTGCCGTTTTAAATGACGTCTTAAAACACACCGGCGGGCCACCTGGGAGAAGCAGGTGTCAGCCCCCGGCCTACAGAGCGAAGGGGGCCTGAGGAGAGGCTGGGACCGGGGAGGGGCCGCGCACCCCCCCACTGCCCCACCCTCCCCTCCACGTCTGCCCCTTCCCCGCGTGCCTGTGGCCCCTGGGGACACCGACTGGGGCCGGGCTGGGGCACGGGAGATCCGGCCGGGGACCGGACACGTTTGTGCAAAGCATCCGAAGGCCCGTGTCACGGCCTCGTCACGTGAGCACCCTGAGCCCACCCACACCCCCAGCCCCACCCCTGCCGCCAGGCCCCGCCCCCAGGCCCCAGGTGCCCTCCCTGCCCCCTCCTGGGCCGCGGCGGTCGCAGGAGAGACCCTCTCCTTCCCGGAGGGAGCGGAACTGGGCGCTGGGTCGCGCACCGCGCGGTGGGAGCTTGTGTCTGCGAAACATTACATTGGAGGAAGGCCTTCAAGGACACCGGGCAACCTCGACTGTAACTCCTCCGCTGCCCCCGGTCATTCCCAGGAAAACCCCACTGGGCCGCTGGCTCTCCTGATTCAAATGCAAATGTTTCTCTCCAGTTAAAAATGAAACGCTACACACGACGACGCTACCTTATAAACGACTGACTGCACTGCACTAATCTAGTCCTAACACAGAGTATCTCTACGACGCCCTAAGCAGATCTTCAGGGTCTTACGAGGGCCAGCAGTGCACGCCCCAAATTAATCCTCCAGCACAGCTAGCTATTTAGAGCCACCCAAAGAAAGGACCCAGTACGCAGCTCTTCAGGACAAACATTTCCTTCGTTAAATAAAAACAGTCTCCACTTAATGGTCTGCTACCTTTCTTCAAGGAAGTGTTAAGCTTAAAATAATATTTAAAAATTTGAAAATAAAGACATGCTCTGATCATCCAAGGGCTAAAACCAGTTCTTTCATGAACTGTGGAAGAAAACAGGCTTCTACACTCCCTCTTCCTGTCTCCTCAGGCACTAAGCAGGTGTAGGTAAATGCATTGTGCTACGTCTGTTTATCTGGGTTATAGGCATCCCGTTGGTTAAATAGTAACCTTTCATAATCGATCATGGGGCAGAGACAATAGATTCACTTACAGAATCAAAAGAATATGTTTGCAAACCTTAGGAAAGTTTGCCTAAGAGGTAATGCAAAGACGTTTGCAAAGAGGTAATATTGTGCTGTGTTCAGTAGCCTGGATAGGTGGATGGAGTAAACAAAGAGATTTAGGTCTTAGATCCAACTCTGGAAAAAAATTATTAAGAAAGGTATAGCTTTTAACTGACTACGATAACATAAGCTTACTTTGGTAAGCTTCTAAAATTAATATCTGTGTCTTCTTCATAGTGAATTATACAAATGTCAATATTTATCAACAACAGGATATTTAAGATAACACAAATTGGTTTTTCTAATTAAACATACGCACACACTTCAAAAAAAAATCAGGCTCAGAAGGGAACCGGAGGTACAATGCCTCCTAGACCGACCACATTTTGTAAACAAGCAGCTCAGCAAGGATGAGGCAAGAGGGCGATTTTATTTCTTCCAGCCCAAAGCCTACCACCTACCAGTGCTCTGCAGAAAAATCACAGATGTTCTTACTGTTCAACAAAATAAAATTAAATAAAAAATCTGTACTCCTAAAACCAATGTATGTAGATGTTACTATTTACTTTACTAGAGAATTCTCAGCCTACAAAAGATTCACCAGGTTTCGGAATAGCTACCTCTTCGGGTTTCTTTTGTACTATCACTGGATTTGAAAAATTGAACTTTTACAACTTCTAAAAACTACACCTGCGCCCGTGAGGCACACCTGCATTGCAACGGTCACAGGTACATTTTTCAGCCCAAACCCTGAGAACCGTTTGGACTACAAACGGTTGTAACAGATGGTAAGACAGGGAAGGGAGGCCTTGGGGCCGAGGATCACAGGACTGCTCCTTCGGGGACAGGTGCCTTTTCTCAGACAAGGCAGACAGACAGAGTTTAAGCACAATCCAACCTTATTCAAACGTGGGCTCAGCCTTTACTGCACATCAAGGACTCGAACTTGGTGTCACGCAGAAAATAATACCAAGTGTCCCTTCTGTGCCCTTAAGGCGTCTGAAAGAGGTGGGGATGACAAGTCCCAGTAATAGCCGCAGCGCACACACAGGCCCCGACCCTGGGCTAGGCCTGCCCAGTCACACAGCGCCCGTACCCTGTGCAACTCCAGGAGGCAGGCGCTCCCATCCTCCCCTCTGCAGGCAGCGCTGTAGGCCCAAGGCTTGTGTCTCTCCAGGGTCACCGGTTGAAGCCTAATCCCAGGAGGCAGGGCCCTCAGGAGGTGATTGGGGGTCAGGAGGCCAGTGACCCCGTGAGCGCCGTCAGTGCCCTTAGAAAAGGGCCCGCGGAGCCGCCGGGCCTCTCCCACGGCGCGCGAGGAACCGAGGAGAGACGACGGCGCCTGTGAACGCCGGCAGGTCCTTCCCGGACGCCTAACCTGCAGGGGCCTTGTCTTGGACTCCCCGCCTCCAGAACCGGGAGAAACAGATGTCCACTGGTTAAGCCCCCCAGTCTACGGGACTTTCGTTACAGGGCACAAACTAACGCACGCACGGAGGAAAATGTTGCGCTGGACTTCGATAAGCGCTATAATTGAAGTACATAAGCGGTTTAACCGTGGCACGAAGACTGAGAAAATCAAAGGCAGAAAGAACTACAAAGTCTCTTTTCATTCAATTAAAAAGTGCCTTTTTTACAGGGGAACACTTTGTAAAGCATACGACAGCCTAACCACTATGCTGTACACCTGAAACGGATACAAAGTAATACTGAATGTCAACTGTAATTGAAAAAAACACTTTAAATAAAGTAAAACGATATTGTGGGGGGAGAAAGTGCCTTCTTTATAGTTCCCTAACTTCTAGAACAATAAAACAGTGTTGATAGCCCTGTTGTGTTACATAAACGCAAACAGGCTGAGAGGATCGGCACTTTATGAGCTTAAAGCACAGTACACATTCGAGTTAATTTGGTTTAAATGAAGTTGCCGCACCATTCGGCTTTAAACAACATGCTCGATTATTAGGTTCGGTTTGTTTTGGAGAAGGGACAGTGGGGCAGAGGGGGGGGGGGTGGCCGCCGCACCTCTGCTGGCCACAGCAGGGACAGGGAGCAATGGTGGCTGGGGACAGGGAGGGACGGCCCCACCAGCCCGGACCAGGCGCCGCTGCTCTCGGCGACCTCAGGGGCAGGAAACGCATGCGTGTTTGCAGGGGCTGCTCCAGGGCTCAAGCCGTACAGATCCGAGGCCACCAGGCCCACAGGCGGCCGAAACTCGGAAGCGAGGTCCCCACTCAGGAGGGCGCATCTGCGACTGGCCAGCCAGGGGCCCCCGACGGCAGCAGCTTTGCAGGCCGGCGGAGGACGCGAGAGGGCCTGCGAAGGAGACTGAACACAGTGGCCAGGGACAGGCGGAGGAGAAAGCCCGCGGCAGGGCCTCGGAGTCGGGAGGCAGGCGGGGGAAGAGATTCTAGGATTAGAGGGTGCCCAGGAGGAAGAAGACCAGGCACCCGCGCAGGGCTGGGTAGCTCTGCATCGGCAAGAGCGGTGTCAGGACAGTCGCCAAGAGGAACGCCAGACCATAGTCAGTGGACAGAGTCAAGACCGCTCCCCTTAAGAGGTCTGGAGGGACAGAGGCCAAACGACACTTCAGGAAGAAGGAAAACCTGTAGGAAACTTCTTAGGACACATTTTAGGGGCCTCACCAACATGCCCACTGCCCCAGCGGTGGGCGTGGCACAGCCGTGGGAACATGGGTCCCTCGGCCGCACCCACAGCGGCAGCGTCCAGGAAGGAGCCCTGCTTCCTTCAGCGGGTGGCCTTGCAGTGCCCTGACCCCATGGCAGGCTCGCTCCAGGGACGGGCTTCTCGTCGTTCCCTGGAGAGTCAAGCCCCCGTGGGAGACACGCCTCCACGATCCCTCCAGGTGCTCAGCACCAGCGTGCACGCCGGCGTTCGGCAAGGGGCTGGACCCCAGCCTGTGGCAGAAGGTCACATTTTCCGAGCCCCGCCCCCCTCCCCCCGCCACCCCGTGACCAGGAGCACAGACCGAGCAGCATCCAGACGACAAACCCTGGTCCAAAGCAAAGCCCTGAGACATCACACCGCAGGGTCCAACAGCCCAGCCCCTGCTGTCGGCCTCAGGTGGCCACGCTGAGAGACGGGGGACCTAAGGAACCCTGCCGTTCTCAAGGCACACGCCAAGGGGCGACCGGCGCAGCCATACCACCTGGTCTGTGTGACAGTTCACTGACGAACTGCAAGGAGGGACGCCACAGTCAACCCAGAGACAGCCTTTGTCCGTGTAGTAAACGAAACGGACGTCACAGGCAAGCCCTGGGTGAAGGTGACAACATCCAGCGATCCGTGCGGTGAATAACTGGTTTAGGAGAGGAAGGAAAAAACCTCACTCGTGCAGCATAGATTGGGTGGTAATGAAAGGAACATCCTTTCAAGGAGCTGTCTACCACAGTCAATTTTTGCCCTGGACTGTGAGTGCAAAATCAGAAAGGATTCTTAATTCATATGCCTTGGCCTCCTTCCATTGAAAGGTAGTTACTTTTAACGGATTATATAAATATCCTGAAATGGGCTATCGTCCTCGTTTAGTAGGCCTTGTCTCTCGTATTCATCATCCTTTCATTTGGCGACTGTCCACACCTGTGGGCCAGCGTGGCGAGGCAGCCCCCACAGGCTGCTGCCGGAGCGACGGGACAGCTTGTCTCCACCTTCTTCTGTGAGTTCATCTGTGTACAGCCAACACAGGAGCAGCCTCAAAGGGGCAAGCCTTCCGGAAACAGTGGAAAGCCTGTTTTGTTTTGTTTTGTCTTGTGGACAACCCAAATCTTCCCTGGTGTTCCCTAGGGCACAAGGTCCATTTTTAATTTTTTAAGTGAACTGATCAATGGTTAGATTTCCAGGGAATGGCTGCTCTTAGTTCTCAAGTTCTTGGAGAATCCCTTAAGAAATCTGTTGGGAAAATACCGCTGTTTAGACACAGATTCTTCGCAGAAGCTTCTGGACCATCGCCTGGAAAATACCTTCCTGGATCTTCAGAGCCTAGCAGCCAGAATGAGATCTGTTTGATCGGCGCAAACATGAAGACTGTTCCGAACAGCTCGGCAAAGGACCAAGAGCCCATACTTGGAAAGACACTTTTGTTTATCGATGCATAACACAACGGCCCGTTTGTAAGTCACACGAGCATAAAGCAAGGGCATGAGAGACCTTGGCCCAAGCCTTCTTAATGCAGCAAGGCCTTGGAGGTCTTCAACGTCCCCTTATTGGACGGCCTAGCTCGGACAGCCCCTTTGCCCGAACTCTGCGCGGCTGCACAGGCAAGGCGTTACGCAAAAGCTGTGCGACAGTGTCAAGGGAAAAAACTCAGCCAGCTCTTACAACTCAGCAAACGCAGCCGCATTTCAAATAAAAGGTATGCCAACAAAAGGTCGAAAATATTACAAGGAACAAATCCAGTTTTGTTTTCAACAGAGCCTGAATTTTAAAATAAGAGTAACTTACAATTTCACCACCAAATTATTTTTCTTATGAAGATGGAAGGTAAATGTCAATGAAGACTCAATGAAAGAATATATATAGATACGGCATTTTCTGAAACTAAAATGAAGACTCCTGGTCAAAGCTGAAAGGACAAACTGACAATGATAGGAAACTCCAGACTGATTTCTTTTACCAGCTGCTGCATTTGCAATACCTGAGTGTTAGTGGGGAGTGAGGGGGTGTGGAAACAATTTGATCGACGTGTAATTATCTCTTACAAAAAGTTAAAAGGTACAAACCTCATAGTGTTCATATTCATCCACATCGAACGTCTCAAAGTCGAAAAATCCATGTTGTAATCCCTAAAAGCAGAATTGGAGTTAGTCTTTTCCACACTAAATTGATAAAGGCTTCTGCCATCCCTCAAATTCCCACTCACAAACGACGCCCACTACCCGGAAGGAGGTCACTCGGGGCCATTGATTCGAAAAGCATTTCTAGAAATCAGCTTCTAACCTCGGTCGCTTTGCTTTCAGCCTGTCTCACAAGTGGGACTAAACACTTAGCAAAACATGAAAGTATGTCCTACAAAACATGTCTCCTGACTTCATTTACATGATTTTGTGTAAAATCATTTGTGTCAACAAAATGCATACCAGCAAATTTAGTTAAAACCTATTGGGGCTACATAATTGATTCGTACCTAAGTATAACAGAATATATCACAGTGATTAACTTTTCAGATAGAAGAAAATCAAAAATTCTTAGGACGGTTTATCTTCCTTTTATCATCGGGATGTTTGGAAAAAAGGGCACCTTGACTTCACAGGCCCCTCTTTGTTCCTAAAACTCCACTTGGCGAGGGTTTGCGGTGAGAGTTTCTGACAGAGTGGAACCACACGTGAAGGTCTTACAGTGCAGAGGCCAGAGCTGATGTGCTCAACAACGCGAGGAAAAAGTTGACACTCTTTTTTCTAACTAATGACTTAGAACTTTTAAAAACTATCTGGCTTTCGAAAAGGGCAGCGTCCTTTATTTTCTAAGTCCTAAGGATGATGGTACAATGCAAAACCACAGTTCCTTTAAAGGTCCATGAGCAAGTCATTAAACACAGCAGAAACCATGAAGCCAGGCTCCAACGCATCTATCTATCTTTGAAAAGAGTTTAGAGACCAATGTTTTCCAAAATGCAGATCACGGAGCACCTGCCACAGAAGCGCTTGCCCTAAGTCACGTTTAGGATGCAGGCGCCCAGGCCCCGTCCCAGGACCGTTAAATCAGATGCCACTGGGGGTGGGGGAGGGCAGACCAGCGTTCTTAACCTGCCTTCCTAGGAGTTCTCGTGAACACTAAATTCTGACAAACTGGTTTAGACAACTCTTAGAGAATAAGCAGGGCAACTTGGTTCATCCGCACGTACCATTCCAGAGAAAACAGTGAGAAATATATCCCTTAAGCTACTACTTTCCTCCCTTGTGAGAGTCTGAGTCTACGCACGCACGTTTCTGTGTGCAGTTCGCGAGCGCACACGAGTCACGCTTGTGACACACCAACACATGGGAATCAGAGAGACGTGCTTCCCAGAAGGCAGAGCTGCGGCCACACCCTGTCTCTGTCCTTAGGAGGCTGAGCGGTCACTGCCACAAAGCAAGCCCGGGGCATGTGTCCCGCGGAAGGGGTGTCTGAGGGAAATGTGCCGCAGCTGCTTCAAGACCAGGTGGGCGATCCAGCAGGCACATGCTGTGAAACCTCGTGCACATTTGGGGAAAACAACCCCCACGGTTGATGCAGCAAGAAGTCTGCAGAAGACCAAGTCTCCCCTTTCCTCTGCAGACAGAAGCGTGCCATGAATTTCTAAGTTCAGTCAGGGGTCAGTAGTGAACACAACAACAGTGCGAGCTCTTTCTAAATTTCACACGTTGTTACACAAGAAGCAGGCCGTGCCAGAGACATGGCAGGAGAAGCAAAACGATGATGACGCTGAGGACGACAAAAATGAAACCGCCTTTTTCCCCAGGCATGTCTTCAACTGCTGTGATTGCAGATTACGTGGCGGCTGCTAGCACTCCACGGCCTCTTCTCTGATGCCACTAGAAGTGGGTGCCGGCAATACGACTTGCAAGGGATGGACTAGAGGATCTCGATAGTGTTTAAATTAAAAATTAAAACGTGTGAAAGCTATTTGAAAGTTTACAGAGTTTAAATTCCCTTCTTTAAGCCGCAACAGTAGTGCTGACATCCCTCCGACAGCAGGCAAGGACATCGGCGCCTTCCCTTTCCTCCCAGGAAAGCCCCGAGCCGGCCACAGCAAGGACGCTGGTCTTACCTTCCTGATTCCCTGCAGGCAGTCGAGGATGGTGAGGTTGTACGTGCAGTTTCCGAAGGAAGCGTCCCTGCAAACACACACACAAAAGCTCCCCGTCAAACATGGGCGTTTCCACGTTCAGTTAAGAAAACAGTGACATCAGCGGGGTGCATGCTCCTTTGGCCTCCCGGCTGTCGCCGGGGTAAACACGCGTGACACGTGAGACCCTGCTGGTTAGGACGCTGAAGCTCTTCTGCAACGGCTGCCCCCCGTGGGCAGAATTCATCAGAAAGCGCGAGCAAGAGCCCGGGCTCTGGGGCCAGGCTGTCATCTTCCCCCACCTGACCTGCGGGGACCTCGGGCAAGTGACGTCACCTCTGTGAGTCCTCGCGTCCTCGTGTGTGAAACAGAGGCGCGGAGAGCAGCTGCCCTTCACAGGCTCAGTGCCGATTACATTACAAAATAACAGAAAGTCCTTCACATCGCGCCCAGCAGAGGAAGCACTTAAGAAATATTGTGACAGCTATTATTATTGTTAATAGCGATTAATAGAACTGGACTGTTTCAGGAAGTAAAACATGTGCTAAACACAACGGTGAAAATGTCAGGCGGACGATAGGTGCGGGGCGACAGACCCTGGCAGCTATTTTCATGGGTGAGACGCCACCCTCCCAACCTTTCCCCCAGAAAAGCAAGGATAAGGCGCTCATGCGTCCAGGCGGACCCCCCGGGGACCCCCAAGGGCTTCCAGCGCCACGAGGGGCTCTCTCCAAAGGAGCGGGAACCTCTGCCCCTAAAGCCAAGGGCTTCATCCTTTATTTAAGTTTTCAGAGCGACTTAGCAGACCTGCTTCAGGCAACGTAACACTGAAGTATCAAGTTCGGGTCAGTTAAGCAAGAACTGGCACCGGAGCTTTAACACTAGCACCGTTCCAAGGCGTCCGAGGCAAGAAACTCGACCTCACGGCTCTCAGGCTCCCTGCCCAGCCCCCGCTGCTGACCCAAAGGGACGGAGCGGTCAGGCACCCGCGATGACAAGGCGGTCCCAGGGCAGCAGGAGGGAGGGGCGAGCGGTGTTCCATGGGGAGAAAACAGCCTTTAAGGGCTTCAACGTAATAATACAAAACTGAGCTTTCTGGCCCAAGCAGCCGAGGTAGCTCAAACCAGTGGCCACTAAGCCATGAATAAAAATGCCACTTCGACATCATCGAGTTTCAGCGTCCTGATCACCTGGTATAAAAATGTTACGTTAGCAAAGCAGCTTAACAGAAACGTTTCCCAAGTCCTGAAGTTTCAAAGTTAACCCTTGTAAACAGAAAGGGTTACTCTAGATATCTGTCTGATCTCAAGAACTCTTCTGTTGAATGCCTTCGGAACTCCTGGGTCAGCAAAAAAACAGAATAACCCCTTTTCCGTAGATCTTGAAAAAACATAAAACATCTATGGGAAAGCAAATATTCATGGACTAAGCCAGAGGAAGAAGTATCTGGGGATCCAAGACAAAATACGAGTTTGTATGGATAACCACACACGTTCCCTTGTCGGCATCTGTTTCTTTGGGACAAGGGTTCAGGGTCCTGTGAGTAGCAGGGACCCTTCGGCCACGTGAGGGACCCTTTCCTCAGCATAAGCTTTAAATGCATAAAATAAAATGCATAGGAACAACAAGAGTCCCTCAATTAAATTTAAAGTTAGCAAAATATAAAACGACCAGTTTATAATACAGCAATATGTACTTTTTTGTGACTATACTACACAGCAAGGCCTAGGAGCGGTCTCATAAGGACCATAAAGAAGAAATAAACATAAATAATATCCATCTTAGGCTACATGGAACAACTGTAATCGAATAAAGTATGTCTATGACTTCTATTGGGACGAGGTCATTTATGTTGCTAATACTGCTATAGTTTAGGTACAACGTTTATAACTGAATGTCACCTTATAAGGTTCGTGCAAATAAAGATAATCATTTTTTGTCATCCACAGTTACTGACTCTCTAAATTGGCTCCGCAGACCCTAGATTAAACACACTGACTTCCGTAAAGAAAAGGCGGGGGTGGGGGGGGCACAGAAAACCTGTGCATTGAAAAAGGATTACAAAGACCTGCAGAGCCAGCAGGCGGTCCTTGTTTCCTCGGGCGTGCCTTGCCACGCCTGGGCCAGCGAGGCACCCCACGGACCCCGGCGTCAGGGAGCCCCAGGCCCGGGGTTTCCGGCTGTCTGCAAAGTGCGGGACACTGCCCTGCTCTCTCTCGACCTGGCGAAGCCACATGTTTCCCAGTGACTAACAAGAGCGCTGGTGGCCTGAGGGAGCAGCCGTGAGAGTCAGCAGGTCCCCTGACTGAACTGGGACCCAGAGCGGCCAGGCCGGCTGCACAGACAGGCCCACGTTCACAAACTGGAATACGCAGCCCGGCACGCGGTCACATTCAGCCGCGTCCTGAGGACTGGGGAAGGCGGTGGAACGCCTTTTCTGAACAGCGACCACGCGGGGTGACTTAGATGCGTCATTAGCACATTTAATCCTCATGACCGTCCTGAAACCAGCAGGTCCCAAAACCCGCTCCCGAACTGGCCGGGGAGAAATGGCTTCTCGGTGGCGCCTGGCTCAACGCAGTCAAACGAGAGTGACCGAAAAAGGGAAGGGTCACGAAAACCTGTGATATATTTTTGAGGGGAAAGAGAGAGAGAGTAAAGGTGGCAGAAGAACCTGAGAATCTCCCAAAATCTCCCTAAGAAAAAAAAAAGAATTTTAAAAGGTTTTTTTCCTAATGGACTACAACAAGGTCAGAGAGAATAAGAGCGTACGCAAAGGCGATAAAATTCTGAAACCTGGAACTCAGAGAGACGAGTGGTACTAAGGCCAAGAATCGGAAAACTAAGGGGAACGCGAAAACTCACAGAATCAACCCAATTAACACCAGGTAGCTCCCCAAGGGCTCGGGAACGGGCAGCGCCAGCTTCCTCCGGAAGTGAGAACGAAGACAAGGGCTGCAAGGGGATCGGAAGTCCACTGAGCAAGCGGAGAGATTTTACTCTACAAAAGCAACGCTAGCTCCCGTTGTACAAATCCATCTCTCCCGTGGGCTTTCCTCAACCGCCCAGGACAGTGGGAACCGCCGGCAACAGCACGGTCGGCCCCGGCAGGCGGCGGGGCGCTGCCCCACGAGGGGCCGGGGCTGAATGGGAAGATGGCCGGCCACCCACGGGTCGCCCTACAGGGTTCTCGGAAGAGGGGGCAAGTTAGGGAAACACCAGGCTCTGTCGGCCTCAAAAATCCCTTCCTCCTCCGAAAGCAGATCTTTAGTTAACACCATCGAGTCTCTTTCCTCTCCATACCTCTCTCCTGGGTCCTTCCCAACAGAACTAGAACCTTTTCAAATCTCCACCATCTTTAAAAGGGAGAAAGAAAAACCACCCAAAACCTTTGGACTCTACAGCCTCCCTTGAAAACCCAGGCTTCTTTAAAGAACGACGCATCTTCCTCCCTCCACACCCCCCCCACACCCCGCCCCCCCATCCCCCGTCCCCGCTCCCTCGCATCTTCACCTCCCGTTCCCATCCTTCCCACCCTCCCCCGCGCCATGAGCTCTCCTCACTGAGCTCACCGAGGGTCTCCATACCCCCCAGCCTGGGGGACTTTTTATTTAATTGAGAAAAAATTCATGCTTTTAACCTTTTCAAAGTGTGCGATTCAGTGAGTTTTAGTATATTCACAATTCACATCTCCACTAATCCCAAAACATTGCTGTCGCCCCCTAAGACGACGCTGTACCCACTCACAGCAACTCCCCACTCCCTCCCCATCCCGCTCCACCCCTGGCAATCACGAGGCAACGGGGCCTCCCCAGGGACATTCTGCCAGCAGTATTATACCTAACATGTCGGCAACAAGTGTCTCCGGCCTTTGAATACCCCCTTCACTTAATTCCTGAATTTTTCGTCGACGTCTCTGAACACAACTCCTTCCCAATCTCCTTCGCAAAGCCATCCTTCGCCTCCCCACCTTACAAAGGCAGGGCTTCCTCAGTCACGTCCAGGCTCACATTCTTCCCACTCTCTCCCTAGACCGGGGTTCCCAGCTTCCCGGGAGGTCCCCTAAAACACAGACTGCTGGGCCCACCTGAGTTTCTGGCTCCACAGGTCTGGGGCCAGGCCTGAGGATTTGCATTCCTAACGCGGAGCTGGGTGGTGCTGATGCTGCTGGTAGGGGGCCCGCGTTCGGAGACCCTGCCCTACCCAATCTCATCTACAAATTGCCATTTCTCTGCTAACCACCTCAAATTTCCCTCTCTAGTGCAAACTCCTTAAAACTCCAAAACAGTATGGACAACGATGTAGGTCCCATTCCTGTCTGGGTATCTTAAGGCAGCTCGAACTCTCAGTGCAAGAGGCCTCTTGAATCTGCCCGCACCACACCACCACCGCAACCACCGCAACCACCGCAACCACCGCAACCACCGCAACGTGGTCCTCCGGCGCTCCCCAATCTCAAGCTACAACCTGAGGGCTCCTCCATCTTCCTCATCCTACCCGCCACGGCGCCCCGTTGTCTTCCCCTCGGAAGTGTCTCTTGAGAAGTTCAGCTGCCACCTCCCGGGGAAGCTAAACTACTGCCTCAGCCTCCCCACACCCACTCAGCCGTTCTCCTCAGTCTTCACTGCGGCCAGAGCGGCGTCTGTAAAAGGCGAGTCTCCCCAATGGGAACCCTTCCTGACTCCCCACAGCACCCGAGAAAGTTCAAATCCTCCATCGGAGGCAGGGCCGTGTGGTGCCTGGCCTTCCCGCCTCTCTAGCCGCCTCCTCACGTCACGCCCCCTCAGTCTGCACCCACCACAGTGGCCTCGCCTGAGCCACCCCCCCACCGCCCCCCGACAGGCACTCTGCTGCCCCCACAGAACCTCTGCTCCCACTGGTCACACGTCCTCCAGCTCACCTCGCCGACATCACCCAACTCATCCTTCAGATCTGAGCTCAAAGATCACCTGTCCCAGGAGAAACGCCTCCAACCCGACCTGGCCAGCTGGGTGCCCGGCTTCTCTATTTTCGTTAACTGTACTTTAACATTATATCCTGCTGTGCTTA